CCGTTGTAAGAATATTTACTACGTACTATTTGCAGGATATTCTAAGTGTTGGACTTGCAGTTCCTCACTGCAGAAGCTTTTGCTATCGTAAAAAAAACCCCAACGCAGCGGGCGCTTCTTAGAGGTGAGATTCCACAGTCCGCAACACCAGACCACGCTTGAGAGGAGTGAAGTAGACCCGGGGGCCAAGGGAACAGGCCAGTGCTGTCCCCTGCTCTCCCTCACTCCAGGACACCTGCCCATGAGCAGAGTGACGAGAGTGCATGCTAACGGAGTAACTATTTCTCACCCTTTTTAGCTGAGCAATCGGTTGAGAAAAATGTGCGTATGATGATGACAATTATTAACATTTAATGAACTGTGCGACTGGCTCCTTGCTAAGTGTTATACGTGGGGTTATCTCACTTCACAATGGTAATTCCACGAGGCAGGTATGATACTATTTACATGATCTACTTACAACGAGGGCACCTATGTGAGGATCAAATGACCTAAGTGTAAGAACCTCCAGTGTTTGTCAGTTATCGTTGCTGTCACCCCCATATTTTAGATGAGAACACTGAGGCACAGAGAGGTGAAATCACCCAAAGTAGAGAATCAAGGTTCCCGCCGGATTAACCCGACTCGAGTCTACACATTAGGCTCGTGGAGACACGAGGCCCCAGGAAGTCCTGTTGAGGGCTGTGGGGCAGGTCACAGGGCCTGGAAGTCCCAGGGAAGGACGTGCGGCATCCCCACCATTCCTCCCTGGGCAGGCCGCCCCGAGAGAGCAGGCCGGTGGCGTCCGGCACATGCAAATGTCCCAGCCCTGAACAAAAACAGATCTACCTCGGTCCTTTGGGCCCCAGCCCTGGTCCCTGCTGAAGGGCGCCCCCTTAGCCCCGCAGCCTGAGGCCTCAGGCCACCACTCACTGTCAAAGTCGATCTTCTCCACGATGTTCTTGGGCTTGATGCTCTCTTCCTGGCTACAGATGAAGATCTGCCCCGACTCGTCCGCGCTCCAGCCGTACTTGCTCATCCACACCTTCAGCTGGCTGTCTGCAGGTGACACGGGCAGCGAGGGGCTTCAGTGGGCCCGATCCCACAGTGCCAGGGGACTGGGAGGCAAGGGAGTCATGGCTCAGCAGGCCAGGGTACCCGCCCCCCACCACGTGACTACTCCGCTGGCATCTCCTGCTGCGGCCCCCGCCCCCCCGGTCATTTTCAGAACAGCCGCCAGAGGGAGCCGTTCGGGTTTCTCATCCTTACACCCTTAAAAGGCTTCGGCCTTAACTTCTTTTATTTTATATTCCTGTCTGTTCTCCTCCAGGGCACAGCTTGGCTCCTAACAGGAGCAGTATATTTACTTACCTGCTTTTCCCACAACATATATAAAAATGGTTACAAAATTTTGATGTCACCATTACCGGAAACAATAAGCCTTTTTGCCCTTAAAAAACGTGCCAGTAAGAATGTACGGCCAGAGAGGTGTTCAGTTACTTAAAATAATTTTCTGTGAGACTATTATTATCAGTTTGATACAGATGCACCATTTCTCTTTATATTCAATTCTAAGGCTTGTTTCATACCCTTTTGATTAATTTTCACTTCTAAATATGTAAAACATAGACCTGATATAAAAACACTTAGCACAGTGCCTGGCCCAAAATGTCCAATAAAAAGTCAGTTTCCACTAAAAACAACAATGAAACCACCTGGGTCAAAAGGCAAAAACTAGCTGGGCATGGTGGCTCATGCCTGTATTCCTAGCACTTTGGGAGGCTGAGGCAGGAGGATTACTTGAGCCCAGGAGTTTGAGGCTGCAGTGAGCTATGATCACACCACTGCACTCTAACCCTGGTGACAGAGTGACACCCTGTCTCAAACAAAACAAAACAGACAAAAAAGGCCGGGCGCGGTGGCTCATGCCTGTAATCCTAGCACTCTGGGAGGCCGAGGCGGGTGGATCGCTCAAGGTCAGGAGTTTGAGACCAGCCTGAGCAAGAGCGAGACCCCATCTCTACTAAAAAATAGAAAGAAATTATCTGGACAACTAAAAATATATATATAAAAATTAGCCAGGCATGGTGGCGCATGCCTGTAGTCCCAGCTACTTGGGAGGCTGAGGCAGTAGGATCACTTGAGCCCAGGAGTTTGAGGTTGCTGTGAGCCAGGCTGATGCCACGGCACTCACTCTAGCCAGGGCAACAGAGTGAGACTCTGTCTCAAAAAAAAAAACAGAAAAAAAAAAACAAAAAAAACAGACAAAAAATGGCAAAAACTATATAGGAAGATACTCACAAGTCTTCTCCCTGTTCCCATCTCCCCTCCCAGGAGTAACCAATTTCCTTAATGTCCTGATTTTCCTTTCTATGTTTCTTTTTGCAAAAACAAGCAAATGTACACTTTTTTTCTTTTTTGTTTTCGGGAGGGATCTCTTAAAAATATCAATTTCATCAGGGCCTTCCCTGCTCAGAGCCCTCCTGTGGCTCCAACTCACTTGAGGGGAAAGGACAAAAGTCCCCCCCCTTGGCCCCACGCAACCTGGAGATGGCCGTCCAACCCCCACGTTTCTGCCCTAGGCCCCTCCCTCGCATCCAAGCTCCCTCTGCCCAGCCACCTGCACCCTGGCTGCCCTGAGAACATGCCAGGCAGCCTTGTGCTCTGGGACCCTCCATCTACTCTGTGCTCAGGCTGCCCATCTTACTCCGCGGAAGCGAGTGCTCAGACGCCACCCCGTCTATAAGCTGTCTTGCCTTCCTTCACAGCACGAACATCACTGCACGCGGACCTCTTGTCATCTGTTTTGCTACCTCCATGAGAACAAACCTGAGTCATTCTGTTTTGTTTACTGCCATGTGCCCGGTGTCTAGGACAGTGTCTGGCACATAGCAGGCACTCGACTTATGCAGAATAAATGAATGAATGGCATAGGATCTCCCCTAAGGAAGGGAACGTATTTTTTTGTTGTTTGCAAACCAGGGAAACACAGCCTTCAGTGTAAAATGCAAACAAGAAATGAAGATGCATTCTGAGGAAGGGAATGTTTTATTTTTTTTATTTTAGAGACAGGGTCTTACTGTTGCCCGGGTTGGAGTGTAGTGGCCCAATCACAGCTCACTGTAACCTTGAATTCCTGGGCTCAAGTGATCCTCCTGCCTCAGCCTCCTGTGCAGCTGGGACTACTGACATGTACCACCGTGTCTACCTCATTTTTAAATTTTTTGTAGAGATGGGGTCTCCATACATTGGCCAGGCTGGTCTAGAACTCCTGGCCTCAAGTGATCCTCCTGCCTCGGCCTCCCAAAGTGCAGGGATTACAGGCGTGAGCCACCGTGCCTGGCAAGAGCACATCTTTACCAAGGTCTTATTTCCTCCCTGGGCTGAGCCTTCAGTAACAACCTGAGACCAGGATGGGTCCCTCTGCGAAGCTGGCTGTGGCCCACTGCTCCTGACCGCCCCCAGCCACCAGATCCGCACTAGGTCCAGCCTTACCTGACAGGTCCCCGAGCATCTCAGCCAGCAGCCAGCGGTCAATGTGCTGGTAGGTGATACCCACGACATGGCAGATAACTGTGGAGGTCAGAGACAAAAGCAGTAAGGGGCTGCCCCCCAGGACCCTGCTGCCACTCCGTACCCCTTCCCCTTGGGGAGCCCAGGCTCAGAGAGGGACTTACATTTTCGAACGGAGTCTTCAAAGCCAGTTATACCTTCTAAGAGGTCCATGTTTTCATCCAGGGCTTGCTGTGACAGGAATGTTGATGTTCACAACGTTATTATCAGCATCAACAGTGCTAATATCAGTAATATTAGCAAGAATTGCAGCTAACATTTCAGCATCCACCCCACATGCTAGCCACTCTACTGTGTGCAAACCTACGATGAAAGTTACTGCTTTTATGCCCATTTCAGAGATGAGGAGATCAAGGCAGCTAAGTGATCTGCCCAAAATCCTAGAACTAGAGTCTGAACCTGGCAGGCAGAAACCATACCCCCGAGAGAGACATGTACAATTTCTGCTGTGGCCACTTCTATTTTCTCCCAAGAAGCCAGATCAAAGTTGAGTTGAGAAGAAAGCGGAAGAGATGAGAAGGTGTGAAGAGGTGTCCAGGGGTCAGGGAGGGAATAAACTGGGCGAGGAAGCAAGATGGCAGATACGGTGGTGGACCGGGAGGCACACACGATTTAAGACAGAACAGGAAGCAGAGCCTGAGGAGCGAGGACAGAGGACCGGAGCTGCTGCTCAGAACCAAGAATGTCGGGTTGGGACCTCATGGGGGTGAGTTGAGAAGCCAGGAGGAAGTGACCAGAGAGATGTCCAGAATCCACAGGGGGAGGAGGGGAGCAACTGCCGGTGAGGACAAGTCTAAGGCAGTTGGCTCCCAACCTTGGCCAGATGCCAGA